TGCTCTGAGCACGTGTTTGGACTAGATGACCTTCTGAGGTCCCTTACAACCCGAACTTTCTATAATTCTATGACTCTTACCTTTCAGTCCTGCAGGCTTCTGCTGGACTGAATGTATGACTGTTCCAAACTTGAGCTAACACTAATGATCAAAATTTTTGCAACTCACAGTGTTACATGTAACAAGGCCCTTAGAAGTGGAAAAGAATCTGATGCTATTAAGCTGAAAATTAGGAGGAAAAAAAGTCTAAGCATCAAATAGCAACATTACAGTGCCCCAAGAAGGGTACTGGTGCAAAAACTTGTTGCAGGATAGATTTGGATTTGTTTATGAAATGGATAATGTGATAGCATTGCCTCTGACAGCTAGAGAATCAACTCAATGACTTTTGTGGTCTTTTCTTTCCTATAAACATCCTATAAAAGAACAACACAATTTGTCCTTGATGCATGTTAGGTCCCCACGGTTTTTGTTTCTGTGTTTAAAGACAACACATTTTGCTCTAAAGAAGCCCCTTTTTCTCCTCTTCTACTAGAACCTTTAGGTCGCTATTTATTTATGTCAGAAAAAAATATCTTCCCTGGTTTCTTCCCTCTCTATCATTGACAGACCTGGTTCATTTGATGGACTGACTTATTATCACGGTAGATGTTTCTTGTATCAAATCCATACCTCCCAAAGCTTTTTTTCAAGAAGAGCCTCTAACCAGAAACCTCCAGGTTTTAGTCCCAGCAAAAGCATTGGCATACAGCAGTATAAATCTCTGTGGGAGGGAGAGGACCCATGCACCTTTTGCATTAGCTGTTTTTCAGGGTCTTAAGTAGGGTGGAATAGGATCATACCTAGTCACCTAAGTACACTTTTGTGCCTAATAGCTGCAACAAAATCTGAGCCTTGCTATATGAAGGGGAGAGGACAGAATATTTACATTATTCTAAGTTAATGAACATCTTCCAATTTTATCTGATTTACTGAACATTTCTTCTTCATTTCTAAGAGGCTTGTGAATGTGTCTGGACATCACAGTCATCAGCCCAGATAGTGATTTTCTTTTTCCCTCTTATCATTTGCTTTGCTCACTTTAAAGCTCAAACAGGGTGTTGATTTAGTTGCTCTGATATCTCTACATCAGCCTTAAACCAGGCCTTCCCAGAGGGTATTGCTAGTTCCAGTGTGGGCAAAATTTTTGCTGAAATGCAGCAGTAGAACAAACCCTCATTCTTTACTTTGTGCTTTACACAATCAAGATTCTGGTAGAGGCAATGCGGAAGTATAGAATCTATATTTTTTCTCTAACAAAAGGTTTGGACCAGGCAACATAGACCCATGACAGAGTTTTTAAAAACACCCCTGGAGAACTACAAATTCAGTTCCCATTGAATGACAGTAGGAACCAAGTACCTAACTACCTTAGTCACTGTCAAAAAATCCCACCCTAAATCCCCAGTCCTTATTAGATCTGGCCATAAAACGCATGGTGGTGATTTTGCATGCTCATGTGCATATATGTTGGAGGTTTGTTGAAAAAAATGCCATAATCCTTTTATTTCAAGGATATTTTATCCTCTTATTTCAAGGATATTTGTGAAATATGCATAGGACAGTGGGAACCTTGATTTTCAATTATAGTAATATTCCTACTTTTCTTAATTGGTTTTGAAATACCCAGGCTTCTTTAGGAAAGTTTATTATGAAGATGCAATGAAAAGCAATACTTGGAAGTGTCATGACCCAAAGGCATGATTTTGTGTGTGCTTCAGCACCAGAATTATCCCCGCCAAGTTGCAGAGCATTGCACGGGAGAGTTTCCTGTTGCAGAGGAAAACCCCGGTGCAGGAATGAGTTTCCCGCCTTTTCTGCAGCTTCTTTTGCAGGGTGCATTGCTCATGTTGCAAGAGGAATGCACGGTGCAAAAGAGTTCCCGCCACCGGCATGTAAATTCGTTCCCTGTGATTGGCTAGTGCTAAATTATTCACACGTGGCGGCTAGCGATTGGCCTGTTAGCCGTATAAGAGGCTTGAGCAGTTTCCGCCCAAGCCAAAGAGGACTCCACATCCATCTCGTGGGGACTCTGGGTACACGGCAGGGTAATAGAAACCCTGTGTGAGATCCAGAGGAGTCTGGCAGCCTGATCCACCGCCCACCTCTTCCCGTCTTCGAGCGCGACTTTTATAAGACGTACCTACGATTCTAATTTTGGTGGCTCGTTCACCCAGAGCATCCGGAGCTCTGTACCGTGGAGCCTAGCAACCTCCACGAGACCGTCTGTGTTGTCTGTCTGTAACCGCAACTCAAGCAAGTTTTCCAGCCTGCACCACTGCCATCTCGGTGTAAGTAAACAATCTTTAAAACTACCGATACGCGTTTGTGCCTAATTCCAGCTCGACGGCCTTCCCTCTCCGACCCGGCGTACCCGGGCTGCTGGCCACAGCCCGCGTGCAGCACGGAAAAGGGCTCGGGTCGCTCCCGGCCCGCACAGGAAGTAATATTTTCAAAGGAGAAGAGCTCCATCCATCTCCCTATCTATCCAGCCATCTAGTCATCCACCTACCTACATGCCTACTAGCTTTTAAATTCAGTTACCCAAGAAACACATTTTTATTTAAACTCTCCCTCTTTTCCTGCCCACCCTGCCCCCATATCTCTAGCCCCTACTTATGCCTCAGGTAAATGCTTCCTAAGGTGGTGTGATGTTCACAGTAGGAGTAGCTGAATTCACACAATTCCAACATGAAGATACTTTCATAGTGAAGATACTAGTGGGCAGCCAATTTACAAAATGAAACATGAAAAATGAAGTAAGGTTCAGTTGTACATAAGCTAGAGGTATTAAAAGCTGAGTGAGAGCTTCATAACAGACAAGGATATCAAAGAGTAAGGGACGTAACAACATCTTCCTAGCAGTGTATCATGTGCTTCACTTGATTTTTACAATAATCAGAACTACACTTCCATATACTGATACACTAAAGTATAGATGCTCTAAGAACAAGGTATTTGCACTTGCTATATAGCAACACATTATATCATTTGAAAGCTTATGGAATATAGATTGGCACAAAATTAAAAAATCTTGAAAAAGTCTGAAAAAGCAGGCTAAAAAAATTTAAAATGCAGTGGAAAACACATTATGTGATATAGCACATGCCCATATGTCATCTGCAAAATCTCAGCCAAGCTAGCAGACTGTGCTGGGCTTCAGTCCACTGTGAGACTTCATGCAAGCCAGATCTCTGCCTGACTTTCACCTGATAGAAACACCCACTTAGTTAGAAAAAACTTTGTGCGCATGCCTTCTAAGCATAATAGCAATTGCTTTACTTTCTGTATGATTTTTTACTTTTTCATAATGCAAATATTATTACTGCATTTTTATATCTAACCTATAACTGCTTAAGCTACTAAATATTACATGGTAAATACGTATTATACTTATTCCTTTATTCCTTACACTAAAGGTATATCATATTTAGATCCTGATCTAGATCCATTAATATATTTGGTGTGACTCCTCATGGTGAGGCTAGCTTTAGCCTAGGCTTAGAACACCATGGCAAATGATCAAGAGTGTAAAAGAAAGTTACTATGCTTCAGTTTGTATTTTATGTCTGTGTCCCGTATTATACTTAAGACATTTTAACTGTCTTTAAAATGCTAGTATTTGAGTGTTTAAGTGGTAAAACATGTGCTAAATGCCATCTTCCCAGTTGGTTTAATAAAAGTTATAATTTTGGAGCCAAGAGTTCTAATTTTTTGTATGTCATTTTAGCGTAGCAAATTTAGGACCTTTCTACCAAGGAGTATTGCAAGATCATATTACCTAACATGTATGAGGCTTCACATGAAGTCTTACAATGCACTGAAGTGCAGCACTGCCTGCCAGCTTGCTTGAGAGCTCATAGGTAGCACGTGCACATGTCCTATAGTACATAGTGCTTTTTAATTTTTTTTTGTTATTTTCTTTCATTTTTAAAGGTTTTTCCACAAAATGTACTAATCTACACCATATACGTTTTCAAATGATATATAATGTTTGGGCATACAGTAAGCACAAATACATTAAGAGGTTCTTAGATTATCTACTCCTTAATGTTTTTGTATCTAGGGCCTTTTTATTTTATTGAATTGAGTTTGTATTATTTTTAAGAAAACAATGAGAAAGATGCAGCATGCACAGAAGAGAAAGCAGTAGAGCTCAGTCATTGCTGGCTATACTTCACATACAATGGATCAACAAAAATATGTATTCCCATTTCCAGAAAGCAAACACAAACACAGGGTGTACCCAGACAACGCAAAATGCACACGACAGATGTGAAAGCGTTCTCCGTGCCAAAATTCAATACGGGGAAATCCCGATATTTAAAAAAAAGGGGTGCAAAAAATAGCAGGGCAGCATGTTTGGCTGCAGTGCACATTGTCCGAAACTGGAGCCTGGATCTTCACCACTGCAGCCCTGGGAGACCCTCAGGCCCAGGTAAAGCTGCTGGGACCAACCTAGGTTCTGGCCCCAGCTTTCCCTAACCTAGCCAGGGCAATTTGCCATGCGCCAGAGTGTGCGTGCAGGTGCATTCCCCAGGGACAAGTAGGAGTGGCACAACTATGTGCTGCTGATATTTGTCCCTGGGCAAATATGTTTATTCATCTGGGTGTACCCATAGAGTCTCCTTTTCTCTCTCAGACATATACACTTGCTGCTGCATCTAGAAGTGCACTTTAATGTGCAGTAGCCTATTTTACTGGTCACTAAAGCATCACATAAAAAACATGCAATTACACTAATGCACAGTAAAATAAGCTACTGTGCAATAAGCATCACTTAAGAAATGTGCACTTTCAGTACTGAACTTTAGGGCAGCCTAATGCACATTTATATAGTACCTCACGTTGGAGGTACTAAATTTAATGCACTTTAGGAAAAGTGTGTTAATGATGTGTAGATGTGCCCACTGGTGTGTTCACTGAGACATTTCTTTCATCTCTGCAATATTGACAGGTTTCTATGCATTTCTATGCAACTCCCTCAGAGCCACCTTTATTTCTTTGTTTCTCAGGCTGTAGATTATAGGGTTGAGCATTGGAGTAACTACTGTGTAGAGCAGGGCAAGTAGCTTGCCACTTCCAAGGAACTCACTGGATGTGGAATTTAAATACATTGCACAAGAAGTCCCATAGAACAATGAAACAACCATCAGGTGAGATGAGCAGGTAGAGAAGACTTTGCATTTGCCATCAGCCGATTGCATCCTCAGGATGGTGGAGATGATGCAGATGTAAGAGATGACGATCATTATAAAAGGAACCATCACCACGAAGATGGCAACCAAGAAGAGCTCAGTCTGGTTCACAGAAGTCTTTCCACAAGCTAAATTTATTAGTGGCACAATGTCACAGAAAAAGTGATTGATAGTATTATGCCTACAGAATGGCAACATAGCTATCAAAGAAGTCTGTGTAAGGGCCACAGTGATCCCACTCATCCAGGACCCAACCACCAGCTGGATGCAGAGCCTCCTGTTCATTATGACCAGATACTGAAAGGGGTGACATATTGCAATATATCGATCATAAGCCATGGCTGACAGGAGAAAGCACTCAGCAGTTCCCAGAAGGGCAAAGCAGCACATTTGTGCAATGCATCCAGTATAGGAAATATTTTTAGTGTCTAACAATAAATCTCTCAGCATCCTGGGGATAGTGACAGAGGTGTAGCAGATATCCAAGAAGGATAAGTTTTTGAGGAAAAAATACATTGGGGTCTGGAGAGAAGGAGAAGCTTTTATAATGAAGATGATAAAGCTGTTTCCTATCAGGGTGATGCTGTAGATAATCAACACCACAACAAACAGTAGGACCTGAAGTTCCTGGAAGTTGGAAAATCCAAGGAGTTTAAATTCAGTCACCACGTGTGATTTCCCCATCTCAGATCTTTAGTATCTTCCTTGTCTTTTGAAGAAACAGAGGGAGAGAGAAAAACAAATAATTGGCACATGACTCATTTCTCAAAATAAATGGCAGAGACATATTCAAAAGTGCTCTTCAGTGTTGAAGACCATTTTGAATACATGTGTTTTAACTGCAGAATGAAGACAAATAAATGGGTTCTAATTGCAATTATTTTAGAAATTAGGGCATTTCTAACTTTTTGTAAAATTCAACTCATTTAAAAATGGGGCTTAATGACTTTTTTTCCCCAAGAGGATTACATGATGTGGATGTTGGTAATAGCAAAGTTGTAGACTCAGTGACCTAGGCAGTCCATTCCATTTTTATGTCCTTGAGTTCCTATGAGGGTAGGTTTAAGATTTGTATTTAAAATAAACTAAATTAGGACTGCTCAGCTGATGGGGAGGACATTACTTAGCACTGGTGTACATGCTGGGGCCTGAGATCAGAGTTTGTTAATGTTTTTGCAGACAAATTACCATAAGAAAACACAGTGTTTTTTGTATATTGGCTTTGCCACCGTCTATTTTGCCACAGCATTTTTATTGCCAAATCAAGATAATCAAAGGCAGAAAAAGAACAGGAAAGCCTGAATCAACATTTCAACATGAAAAAGTTAATTCATGATAAAGGGAATTCCATGTTCTGTCAAATACTTTTGATTCAAGCAGTATTTTCAAGCCAATATCTTCTTCTCAAAACCTTTTGAAGAAAAAATAATGTTTCATAGAGTTTTACATTTTGACTTTTCCTCTAAATTCAGAACAGAAACTCATTTTCAAATGTCAACATTTCCCAGTAAATGAAAATCACATTTTCTCACTTGCTCTACTTAAAATGTTCCATGTCACAAGATCACCCATCTCGCATCCCTTACCTCTCATACAAGTCTTCTGATTCCTCTGTCTTTGCTGCATACTCATGGCTAGGAAGTGTAATTCCTTTTGGTTCTTCAGGAACCTCCAAAATGATCACTACTGCTTTGAAAGCCTCCTATGATCCTATTGATTTTCAGTATGCCTTTTAATGTATTTTAATGGGTATATATCTCTCAGTTCTTGGTCTGTTATATTTTTTTATCAAGTAGCCACAAATAAAAATATGTAACAGTGGCAGATATTTATGCTTTCCAAATTACCTTTGGGACCTAATCCCTAGCTTGCTTTGTGCTCAGAGATTTTGAGCTGGGATATTTTTTGCTTTTTTCTGATAAATATTTTTTCCTAGTAAACCAACATCCTTCTTTTAATGGAGACAGATAGGACAAAGAGAAAAAGGAATGGAAAAAAAAAGGGGAAAAAATCTTTTTAGGAAGGTTTTGAGCAAAAAAGCCTTTTCAGTATTTTTATTTTTTGGGGAGTAGTGGGAGGAGGAGAGGAAAGGACATCTTGATTTTTTTTTCACAGAAAGCACTCATTATAAATCATTTTGTTACAACCCAGTTTTCTCCCGAAAACAGTTTTGGGTGGAAATTAGACAATCAGACAGACAGAAAACATTAGCTCAAATATTTCATAGATGCCTCTGGCAATAAGGATAGAGAGGCAGAGAGATCCAAAATCTCACACTGTAATGTATTGCCTGCTGACTACTGATAGATGTAGTATTATATAGACAATACTTTCTTATCCCTTGTCATCTACTGTCCATTATAGTGTGCAACTACCCTTGGGCACCATTCACCCTTTGCTTTTTTGTAGTCTTCTTCCTTCTCTCTCGTTTGATACTTAATGCCTAGTAAACAGCAGGGTAGGAGAATCTAAGTCAAGGCCTGCCATTATAGCTGAGTGATACTAGCACTGGCCTGGAAAATAAGTTTATAAGAAATATAGACTCAAGCTCTTGCTCTAATTATTACTTATGCATCTCATCCCATGACTATATAATGCAAAATGTTTATGCAGTCTCTATTGCACGGATCAGAAAACGGGATTCCCAACAGAAAAAGGAGAGGTAGTAGTGGCATGAAGCCAGCCCAGCCCGTAGCTTGGTGGCTAAGATACCTATTGGAGAGACATATGTTTGAAGCTCCTCAGTCCAAAGTGAATCAAATATCTCATTTTCAGCTTTTGGGGTGAGCTTTCTAAACTAGGCTATTTCCCATAAGGTGGTCAACAGACTTTTTTTCCTGGTTTGTTGTTTGTTTGTTAAACTAATGATTGCCTAATGTAGAGTACAAATGATCCAGGTACTTAGGGCTGTAAACCACATGTCCAATTCTATTACCTTGGCTAGGAATGTAAAATGGAGAGTTCACCTAAAAATCAGCATGAAATAGCCATTCTATCTCCCACTATCACCATGTTCCCACAAGCAGGGGTGTACGGTTGCTATCAAGAAAAAAGAAGCAGCATAACATTTTGCTGTTTTTTGCCCCAGTGCATGCCTCCTCACATGGGGTTAACATGGGGACAAATTTTCCGAGTTGGGTAGGGAAGGCTAGAGCCAGCACCTTGGCTGGCCCCAGCAGCCTTACATGGGAACCTGGGGCCTCCTGGAGTTCCAGAGGCAGCTATCCAAGTGCGTGGAGCCTGGCTGGCAGCCAGAGCATGGCTCTGGCAGACCAGGCTCCAGTTTTGGGAAGTGTACACTAATGCCGTGTGCACCGCCCCACTTTTTTCTGTGCACTTTTTTTTATATACTGAGATTTCCAGGTATCTAAATTTGCCTCCATGCTGAAAATGAAATCATAGTTTCATAGTTTCATAGTAGCTAGGGTCAGGAGGGACCTGAATAGATCATCTAGCCTGACCTCCTGCCTTCGGCAGGAATGAATGCTGGGTTCACAAGACCCCAGACAGGTGATCGTCCAACCTCCTCTTGAATTTGCCCAAGGTAGAGGTGAGGACCACCTCCCTGGGAAGTTGGCTCCAGATTTTGGCCACCCTAACTATTGAATATTGCCTTCTGATCTCTAACCTAAACCTATTCTCCATCAGCTTATTACCATTGTTTCTTGTCAATTCAGGTGGTGCAGGGGAGAAAAGGGCTCTACCTATTTGCTGTTGATCTCCCCTGATGAGCTTGTAGGCAGCCACCAGGACCCCTTCAGCCTCCTCTTGCTGAGGCTGAACAGGTTCAGGTCCTTCACTCTCTCCTCGTAGGGCCTGTCCTGCTGCCCTCTCACCAAGTGGCTGGCCCTCCTCTGAACCCTCTCCAGGCTGGCCACATCCCTTTTGAAGTGCGGTGCCCAGTACTAGACGCAGTACTCCAACTGTGGCCTGACCAAAGTCACATATAGGGATAGTGTCACTTCTCTGGACCGGCTTGAGATGCACTTTTGGATTCATGACAAGGTATGGCTGGCCTTGCTGGCAGTGAGCTAGCATTGGTAGCTCATGTTCACCTTGGAGTCAATAATGACCCCAAGATCCCTTTCCACCTCTGTGCTTTCAAGAAGGGAACTCCCCAGCCTGTATGTATGCTGTGGATTCCTTCTCCCAAAGTGCAGCACCTTCCATTTGTCTACGTTGAACCCCATCCTATTCTCATCTGCCCACTTTTGTACTATGTCTAAATCTAGTTGCAGCCTCTCTCTCCCTTCAAGTGTGTCCACCTTGCCCCACATCTTAGTGTCATCAGCAAACTTGGACATCGTGCTTTCCACCCCCTCATCCAAGTTGCTGATGAAGATGTTAAACAGTGCGGGCCTGAGGACCAAGCCCTGGGGTACCCCACTGCTCACATCTCACCAGCTTGAGTACAATCCATCCACCACTACTCTCTGGGTGCGCCCCATCAACCAATTTTTTACCCAACCAACTGTGCAGGCATCAATGCCGCAGTCGCTTAATTTATTGATGAGGATGGGGTGAGAGACAGTGTCAAAGGCGTTCTTAAAGTCTGGAAAGACTACATCCACGGTGACACCATCATCCAAGGATTTAGTTACTTGGTCATAAAAAACAATCAGGTTGGTCAGGCAGGACCTGCCTTTGATGAACCCATGCTGATTGCCCCTGAGCATGATCTCCCCTGCTGGCCCCCTACAGATGTGCTCCTTGATGATTCTCTCCCATATCTTCCCAAGCATAAAATGTGGGGTACATTTTGCAGCACCTCAGAAGCCTTTGCAGCACCACAAAATGTATGTGCGTGCTTATGTGCATGCAACATGTAGGTGCAAAAGCACATGTAGGTGCAAAATCATGAGTATAGGAGGTAAACATTGAAGTAAGCATCCATCCTCCTATATGAAGACAATGACGGGGGGAGAAACGAGCTGAGAAATGAGCACTGCTACCTAACTATCATCCCTCCAGCTCGGGCAGGCAAGTTATAGTTCAGATATGCTCTCAGCAACTGCAGAGGAACATTACAGACAAAGAGATGATTCTGCCATCCCCTTCTCCCCCGGTCCTGTACCCCTTAAGAAGGAATGTCACTGGAGACATAACAACTAATTTTGGGATAACAAAAAAGAAAACAGGAACAGGATTGAACTAATAAATTAATAATTAGGAATTCAGAGGGAGACACTGAACACAGCACACTGGCCAGCACGCTCTCCTTCAGGAGCTGAAGGATGCCCCAGGGCACTGGCACCCATGCATTATATGTGCCAGAAAGATAAGCATATCATTATAGACAGAATATCAGGCAGGTCCTTCACAGGGTACTTAGCACATGGCACTAGCTGTGCTGCAATTCATATGGTCTACTTCACAGGAACTGTTGTCAAGTAGGGCTGTGAGAAATGGCTCTGTTCCAATTCAGATTCGGATTTGGTGATTTTGAAGGGACAGCGATTTGATTCGGTGTTTTGGATCACTGTCCTGATTCGATTCAGCTGAATCTGTTTTGGAATTTTGAAACTGATTAGGAGACTTGGCTATATACTAAAATGGGGAATCACTAAAATACCTATAATTTTGTCATTTTTTGACTGCTTCAGATGAAAAGAGCAGAGATGGTAGCCCCTTCTGGGAACATGAAGCCTGTCAAGTTTCAAGGAGATAGGTGAAGGGGTTTCTTT